CGCTGTGAGTCGCTGTCGCACATGGGTCAACCGTAAAGACGGACAGTAAGACCTACCCTAAGAGCTGGTTCAGCGGGGATGCATACAAATACACCATTCTCGTTGCTTACCGGGCCAGACAGAACAATTCTTCGTATTTTTGTTCTGGTTTTTCGATAGTCACAGAGACAACGATTTGTGTGAAACCGGAATCATATCAAAGTTGTCTCTAAATTCAGTTCGATACGTCTTCATGTACTCCTTTTCTTGAACGCCATCTGTTAATTACTTGCACTAATATTATATTACATTAAACCTGATTGAGAAGGAAGTTAAGAGGCGATTGAACTCTAGTAATGCTTGCTACCATTCAGTCCAGAACCTTTTGTCTTCTCGTCTGCTGTCCAAAAACATAAAAATTAGAATATACAAAACTATAATTTTGCCTGTGGTTCTGTATGGGTGTGAAATTTAGTTTCTGACATTAAGGGAGGAACATAGACTGAGGGTGTTTGAGAACAGGGTCTTGAGGAGAATATTTGGCCGAAAGAGGGATGTAGTGACAGGAGGTTGGAGAAAACTGCACAATGAGGAGCTTCATAACTTGTACTCTTCTCCAAGTATAATTAGAATGATCAAGTCAAGGAGGATGAGGTGAGCAGGGCTTGTAGCACTAATGGGGGAGACGAGGAAATATAGGATATTGGTGGCAAAGGCAGAAGGAAGGAGACCACTGGGAAGACCAAGGCGTAGGTGGGTGGACAATATTAAAATTGATCTTAGAGAGATAAGATGGGATGGCATGGATTGGATTGATCTGGCTCAGGATAGGGACCAGTTTATGGCTCTTGTGAACTTCTCCAAGAACCTTTGGGTTCGATAAAATGCTGGGAAATTCTTGAGTAGCTGCAGATTTGGCTTTTCCTCAAGAAGGGCTCAGCTCCGTAAGTAAGTAAGTAAGTAAGTAAGTAATATTTTATTTGCTGTTGTAATATCATTTTACACATTATTGCTAACTTAACATTTGCACGGATTGTCTGATGTCTTTTCACTCGTATTCTCATTAGAGGCTTGTCACCGGAAATCAACACACAAACATTCATGCGCGCGCACAAATACACATTCAACACTGGTGACATAATCTTATTTAATCTCACTCAAATAAAAAGCACACGAAACCAAAAATGTTGACACGCATGTATCCAAAGCATTCATAACGTTTAGCGGGAGGGAGAACAACGGATATTTACACAAGTAAGGGAGAAATAAATGTACACGAATACAGACGGAAATTTACGAGCGCTGGCACATTCTGGCCCAAATGACGACTGACAGGGTTTGCGGCGCGGTGATGACATCTATGAAGTGCTAAAAGCAAATGGAACTAACTTTGATGAGAAACATTAAGGTTAAGAACCGTGGGACAAGGCCCTCCATGAACTTCTTACAACATAACCACTTCCTGGAGGGATTTGGAAAACCTTTCTATACCCTACAAAATACTGTGTATCTCAAACTAAATGCAATTCATCAGAGTACTTTTCGTATGTCGACGGCTCGGCCCTTCCGGCCCTTAGAGACTGAAACTTATCCTGGAAGTAACGTGTAGGACTGTGGGGGTTGGTGGTACACAGTAGAACTTAATGCAGGCTTTTGTTGCTACGGTGACGAATCTTGAGTGTTGATAATATAAGAGAATAATTAATTAGTAGTTACAATCTGCAATAAATACCGTAGCTACGTGGACTGAATTCTGGTGAAGATATGCAGTTCATTAAGCATTACAGATGCTGTGTGCTAGAGGGAAGCAAAGCTTTTCCTTGTAAGATTTGAGGCTTTCACGGCGGTGACTATGAAGAAAGCAGTCTTCTGGGNATTGTTAATTTAAACGATCGCTTTCTCTCCGATACATTGTACTCACAAACCGAAAGTAATTCCACTGGACAGCATTCCTCTTCAGAAGTTGATAGTAGTGCAACTGGTTAAGACTTTTACATAATTAGAAGTTTCATCGCCGTGTTCACAAGACCCCGACACGGGACCTTTCCATAAGCCAATTAGATACCATCCGTACTATAATAACTGAAGCTCCATTTTAATATTATCTTGCAATATAAACCTAAGTAGTCAAAGTGGTCGCTCCCTTAAATTTTTTAAAAATTTTGTATGCATCTCTCATTTCTATACTGCGTGTTACGTGCTCTGTCCGACTGGTTCCTGTCCATATGATTATTCTATTAGTATCTGACTAAAATATATTTTAAATCCCATATTTTTAAGTTCTGTCCAGCATCCTCTACTTCTCTTTAAATGAAACATCGCATTCAAATGAGGTCATTGAATTTTATCAATTTACCTAATCCTTCCAGCCGCACTATGTCCCTGGGATCGACTCAGCCTCTAACAGAAATGAGTACCGGGAATCTTCCTGGGGGGTAAAGAGTTGCCGGCGCGTAAGGCTGCCAACCTTACCGCCATCTGTGAGCCGATTGTCTAGAAAATGTGAGAGCCTCGACGTCTCACAACCCTATGGGCCTCCACGGCCTGTTACAGGGATAGTCCCCCCCCCTTCTCAGTAGCTCATTCTCAAATATTTCTAATGTATGTTATCTTCTTAGGGCCACAGAAGAAAACATTCAAGCCAAAATAGACCAATGTGTAAAATTATAGTATTTTGCATTCTAAATTTTAACATTTTAGATAGAAGGCCAAAGCTGGTTTACGGTGAGGACAAATAGGGAAATAAATACATGTGCTGACACTTTTGAGCCACTAAGACGATGTGGGACGGCCATGTCTGTAGTGGTCAGTCAGATATTATAAGGTTACTGCATGACATCTGATGCCTCCTGGAAGACACCACAGCACAAGAAGCTGTCCCTGGTCTGCTTTCAGCAAGGCGTCATGAAGACTTATGGGAGAACATATGTTCTGCTCTAACCTCGACATTAGCTGAAGGTGAGTAGTCAGCTTCACACATCAGACAATTTACAGCTGAGAAAACATCCCCCAGTACCCAGTGGATGTCAGATATTGTGGCCCCAAGCGCCGGTCGGGACTCATGTCTCTGACCTCTGGCCTTCCAGCCAGCACCCTCATGTATTTTCCCTACTCATCGCAGTAAATACTCCACACGTCACATGACACGGACGTGGGACGCGTGGGTGAGCACAGCGTGAGAATATTCATGTACACCAGGAAGTCGACCAATTCTGCCGGCGTCTTCACAGGTCGGCTCAGGTGACAACAGCTCTGCACCAGACCGAATTATTCTGCGAAATACCGTGACGAGTGGATTCTGGAGGTGTTAGCTATGATACACAAACAAACTCCGTACTTTTAGTCCGCAAGCGAACTATACCGACCGAGCGACTGTCGCTTGTCGGCGAAGTTAGCGCCAACTTTAGCGGATAGAAGGTGTCGCATGGTCGGCGCAACGAATCCCCACGGCCGTTAATTTCTGTTTTCTAGACCGGAGCCGCTATTTCCTTGAAATAGCTTTTCAATTATCCTCAACTCACTTTCAACGTATTATGCGGGGTTATATCCTGGGAGACAGAACTCATTTCTATGTGTATATAATCAATCATTTTCGTATATGCACTGATTAGGAATTTTCGGCTTAATCTGATATCCCCATGTTAATACGCATGGAGTCCGAGCCATAGATCAAGCAGTTAGTCGCTGGCTTCCCACCGCGGCGGCCCGGGTTCGATCCCGGGTCTGGTCAAATGGGATTTGTGGCGGACAATGTGGCGCAGGGGCGGGTTTTCTCTGAGTACTTCGGTTTCCCCTTCCAATCTTCATTCCACCAAATTCTGCATCATCATAATCACCCGGGGCAAGCTACAATAGGCCAATCAGTGGGCGCCTTGTCGAGTGGACCCAGTTGGACTTCACCCCCCACTAAGCGAAAATTAATACGTATTTAAGTATTTCATATTTTTCAAACAAACTGTACTGTGTATAGCGAGATGATATTCTCTTGAAATTCTGTCAGGGAGAAAGTGCAGAATCATTATTTCATTTCCAGACACGTACCGTCTGTGCACTAGAATAATTGAAGCGTTGGAGTTTTAAATTTACCGTGGATGTCACGTCGTTGTGAGTAACTGAATTCAGATCAGTGTACACCTAAAGTAAATGTACATCTAGAAGAAAGGGAATGAAATCAGTTCACTTGTTCCCCTCGCTGTCCATTATCAGTGACTTCTATATGAAATAATTGAACAAACAGAAAAAGAACTTATCAATATTATCAGAATGAAAACATTTCTTTCCTTGTGGGAAAGCACCGGGGGGCACGCGGTAGCGTAGTTGGTTGAGGCACTATACTACAAGCCGGAAGGTCGCGGTTTCAAGTACCGATGAGGTAATTTGATTTTTTTTTGGCCTAGTCCTTCCAGCCGCACTACGGCCCTGGGGTTTACTCAGCCTCTAACAGAAATGAGTACCAGGAGTTAATTAAATAATTTTCCTGGGGAGTAAAGCGCGGCCGGCGCGTAAGGCTGACAACCTTATCGCCATCTTTGAGCCGATTGTCTAGATAATGTGGGAGCCTCAGCGCCTCACAACCCTATGGGCCTCCACGGCCTGGTACAGAGACACTGTTACTCTTTTCATTTTACTTTACTTTACTTGTCGGGCAGTATCGCTGCTTACTTCGTGGCTTAATATTTACGTACAGAAAAGTTGCACGAAGGGGGGAGAAGAGAAATGCATATAGGATATTGGTGGGAAAGCCAAAAGGAAGGAGGCCACTGGGAAGACCAAGGCGTAGGTGGGTGAAAAATATTAAAGTGGGTCTTACAGAGATAGAATGGGATGGTATGGACTGGACTGATCTGGCTCAGGATATGGACAAGTGGATGTCTCTTCCATAAAATGCTGGGAAATTCTTGAGTAGCTGCAGAATTGGCGGCTCCTCAAGAAGGGCTCAGCTCCATAAGCAAGTAAGCACAGAAAAGCTGCTGTTATTTGAAAACACGAGAAACTTCTGGCAATTATCGAAGCGAACTTACAATTTCGGACTTGAGGCCCTGGATCTTGTTGTGGAGGCTGTCGAAACGGAGCTGTGATGCTGCCGGCAGAAGGGCTGGTCCCTGGTCCTTTGGTGCTTCTCTCCAGCGATCCTGACGCGACGCGTTTCGTTGCTGCCAAGCGACGAAGAATTGACGGGACAAGGCGAAGTGGTGGGTGGGAAGTGATGAGTTAACTTTCAAAATGCTTGCCATCAGCAGCAGCCATTGTATTCATCCCCACCACCTGACAATGGAACGCTATGGGTCACCAACTTGTAAGCATATGAGACAGATTCGCGCTAGTCCAAAAGAGATATGCTTGAGGAAACAGTAAAACCTTATTATGACCATCAAGATTATGCTTCATTTCTTGTACTCACAATATAAAAGAAGGGTTTTGTGTGATGAAAAATTTAACAATTTGTTTTAAACAAGAGCTAGGCCGCGCCATACCTCAAGCGATTAGTCGCTGGCTTCCCACCGCGGCGGCCAGGTTTGATCTCGGGTCTGGCCAAGTGGGATTTGTGGCGGACAAAGTGGCGCTGGGGCAGGTTTTCTCCGAGTACTTCGGTTTCCCCTGCCAATCTTCATTCCACCAATTGCTCCACAATCACCCTCGCCTATCATCTTGGGCTGGTACAATAGGCCAGAAGTGGCCACAGTACAAGGGACTTGGTCCCACCCCACTAGTAATAAAAAAAACACCAAGAGGTACATTTCAGTTCCGTCTGTATTTCTATATTAATGATTAATGACTCATAGCTATTAATCTGATCTATTATGTAGTTGATGTTTTGTGTTTATTTATACGACAGTATCAGTTGCAGGATCTAGAAAAATAAACCCCACAGAGAAATAATTGATAATAATTGATTCACATTTACATTTACACGAATTTGTGCAGTAAATATGTTTAAATTATGGTTTTGATTACATTTTCCTTTCTTATCAGCAAAAATGTTATTTAACTAATGGTACTTATGCATTGGACGTAAAACTTGAAAGTTATGTATAGTTGAATAAAGCAGTCTTCTGGGATTTGGCACCGTGTATATGTGGTGTTAACCGACGTTTCAGAGGAACGACCAGTCTGCTTTTACCGGTTCTCACGGTCTCTTCGCTTGCAGATTTCTTATATTTTTTCTTCTACCCTGAAGATGGAGGCGAAACGTCGGTTAACACCACATAAACACGGTGCCAAATCCCAGAAGACTGCTTTCTTCATAGTCACCGCCGTGAAAGCCTCAAATCTGATATGTAATTATTACCTAATTCAATTCAGAAGTTTTTTATTTATTGAAAGGTAAAAAGTTTTAATATCAACTTGTCACCAGGGCTACCATATTTATAAATAATGACAAGTGCTCTTAGTCAGTTTGAGGTCAAAGATTTGGTAAGGACATACGGAAAATGCAAAGTTACAATTGAACTGCGTAAATAGAGTTTCGGACTCTGTAAATTCTGCTCCTTATGCAAATGAAAATATTTGTGAATTGTGCATCGAGGGTGTATATTCAGTGATGTAAATATAAATTTCAATAACGACTTAGAAATAATATTTGCACCATGATAATCTTAATATATTTATGATAAAGTGTTCATATAGACAAGATTTCTATTGTATTTGTACTAATCCAACCTATGTTCACTATGAGATGATTGTTACAGGAGTTATAAAACTACTTTTAGGTTTTGAGTAGGAACCTGTTTTGTGTCTGGAAATTGTAGTTAATTCCTTAATTATTTCATATTAGTTGAATGTACATGAAAAGTAGATCTGTACTCAGTCCGTCATACACTTCTCTGCCTGGATGCAAGCTGTCCTGACTGAGGATTTTCGTGGTTTTCCTCAACCCTTCCAAGCAAGTGTTGGGGTAGGAACACGATTTGACCACGAACAGTCTTTTCCAAATTCTTCACAGTTAATTATTCGTCAGTCGTCATACCAAATACATTTACTTATCAATTATTCTTGTACAAATTGTTTAGAAAATATAATTTTTTATTATTAAATGCCGTCTACATATTTAATAACAGGCTATTGATTTAAGCATGCTTGTAACTGATGTTCTTACAACGCAGACTGAAGTGGACCTTTTTATGTCAGAGTGAGAATATTAAGATTTCGTTTAACTATGAATTATCAACAATTGGACTTACGCTACTCTGTCTCTTGTAGAGGTATACAGCTTCTGGAATCATTGGCGTGCACAGGCCTATAGAATATATTCCGGTCACACAGCACACATCAGACTGGAACGAACTGGAAATAGTTCTGAAGTAAGTGAAAGTAGATCCAGTTCTCACTGCACATATAAAATTGCATGTAATCCAAACCTCTCAAGGTTTTTATTAAAATAACCAGCGGTTGTAATAATGTATTGAACTGCAACCTACGGCTCCGGGCGAAGGTGGGGTCAGTGAAAGGAGTTGATCTTGGTAAGAGCAAGCCCATACAGCGGTACGGTCTGCTACAGAAACTGCGGTCCGTGTCAGTCGAGAGGTGGCTAGACTTGGTTGCAGGTGCCGACGCTTAGCCTCTGAAGGGCTTCAGGATCTAGTTCCGTGTTGGCATTCCTCTTGACTGGCCTCTCCTTCATTACGCGGCCTCATGTCACGGGTTGCGACTAAGCATATAAACAGAGATAAAGGGCTTCATTTTTATGGTGCACTTAATGATTCTTGCGAGCAGACAAGACCCTATACAGATTTAATAGTAGCACGGATAGGAAATAATGAATTGGATAAGCTGTGGAAGAAAATAGTGGTGGCCTAATTTGTGATATTGTCTTCGCATTTATCTGCAAAGCCTGAGGAAAATTAAGAAAAAATTTACTCAGGATAACCGATTTGGATTTGACACACAACTGCAGAATAAGGACCAGGTTTGCTACCTACTCTCCCGAGACAGTAGATGTTGAGAGCGTGTATTACAGGCCTGTGTCCTTACGTGATTTATCGCAGTAAGTCAGATCTGTATGAGAAGTTAATGTTTCAAGTAGCTCTCCCACCACAGTTTAGATTGTTAAACGCGAACCCAAGAGATGAATTTGTTCTCGCTGAGTCGTAGCTTCTAAAGGCAGAGCCCTCGCTGTCTGCTTCTTGAGAAGGAAAGTATCTCACACAGATGTACAACTTTCTCTTGGATTTCCCTTTTTCAGCGTGCTTACCGTATTTTGGAAAAAGTATAGGTCACCTTAAGAGGTCACCTTTTTCACTGTCTGTGTATCATCTGTATCTGTCTGTCTGTCCGTGTATCTCTCTGTGCCTATCCCCTTTTTATGTAAGGGTAAAGTAAAGTTATCTCTGTAACAGATCGTGAAGGGCCTTAGGGTTGTGAGACATCGAGGCTCCCACATTTTCTGTAGACAATCGGATCACAGATGGCGGTAAGGTTGTCAGCCTTACGCCCCGGCCGCCCTTTGGTGTTACCGTAGCCACAGCGTCCCTTATGCGGGCTTTCAGGTGTTGAAGATCGTTGATCTTAACCTGGTAGACACTGTTCTTCACATAACCCCATAAGAAGAAATCCACTGGGGTTAAATCTGGCGACTTAGGAGGCCAAGCGGTTGATCCCCTTCTGCCGATCTATCTCCCAGCCATCTCTCTGTCCAAGTGATTCCTAACATGGCGGCAGAAATGTGGCGGCGCATGCGCGTAAGCCGGGCATGAAAAAAAGAAAAACTTACAGGGTTTTCCTTCCCGATGACATAAACCGGATGCGTGTATGATAATTAGTTTCCGAGATATAATTTATTTTTATTTTGGATACCTTTCATCCGAACACCCGATATATGTATATGTGCATATATATATATATTTACTTACTTAATTACTCATGGAGCTGAGCCTTTCTGGAGGAGCCGCCAATTCTGCAGCTACTCAAGAATTTCCCAGCATTTTATGGAACCCGAAATTTCATCACCGTGTTTACAAGAGCCCTCCACTGGTCCATATCCTGAGCCAGATCTATCCAATCCATACCATCCAATCCTATCTTTCTAAGATCCATTCAATAACTGAGAGAACTAGTTCCTCCACCTATTCAAAATGTTGTGGGAATCTGCAAGCAGATCACCATTCTCATCCTTCACTAAGTTACTGCTAGGCTGGTAACCCCTCTTAAAGTCATTTATTCCTCTATACAGGTCTCTGATGTTCTTGTTCTTACTGTTCGTTACAAGCTCATCATTTTTTTTTCTTTCAGATATTCCCTCGTTTTGTTCCTGAAATGCCTGCTGGTTTCGCGTCTTATATTGTTCAGATTATCCCCATTTAACTGGCTTGGATCCTGTAACCATTGCAATTTGGCCTGCTTTCTTTGGTCTAATAATTTTGGGCGTCCTTATATATACATATCGGAGAAACAGATCATGGAAGCGTGAACTGGATTCAGCAGGCTCAAGGTAGATTGCTGTCGTGTGGACGGTGGTGAACTTTAAGGTTTTATGACAGAGTAAGTACAAATCGTAGGTCTTTTATATTCATTGCCATATTTTCCAAAAAGTCACTAAGGTTTTTTTTTTTATTTGGAAGTTGCCTCCTATTTTGGGTGAGTTAATTTGTGAACTTTGTGTTAAACAGAGGTGCGACGAAAGTACTTCAAATCATTTCTTGTTTGAAATGAGAAAGCAATTGCATTTTATTTGTACCAGTAAGTAATCTGTTTTGAAGTAAAAATGTCGGTTGAAATGTTACGAAAACTTCCTCAGTTTTTCACGGGTTCTCTCAGTTAAAAGCGCAAATGAATTTAACAGGTTTCAGTACTCGAGAGCCAAGTCATCCCCACAATTCTCAACTCAGCATTTATAATTATCTGCCATTCATTATCCGCCTACCCTGATATTGATTATGAGGCTGGAGTACGGATATGCCCCAAAGCGGATTGGCCAGTAATTCAGATTTTGTTTGTAACAGCACAAAAACCAATCTACAGAGATCAACACTTTTTATATATTCATATTAATTTGAATATTAATCGTTTATTTTAGAGGTTTGACAAACAAGTCAAGGGAAACGAAATGGATGAGGCCTGTGACATGAATGTAAAAGATCAGAAATGCATAAAATATTGGTCGGAAACTCTGAAAGGAAAAAACATCTTGGGAGGATAATATTAAAATGAATCTACAAATATGGTGGAAGATTGTGGGCTTCATTCTTCTGGTTCAGGACATGAAGAAGTGGCGGGCTTTTGAGAAACACGGTACTGAACTTTCACGTCTCTTGAAATGTGTGAAATTTCTTGAGTAGTTGAACGAATACTTCTTCATCAAGAAGAACTGTTCAGCATGGAATATTTTAATTAGTTATTATCGCTATTATCGACACAGAAGAATAATGATAATTGCTTAGGAGTCACGAAATGATATTACAGCCTCTGCCTCAACGATAGGGCACAAAAGTTACAGTAGACAAAAAAATATTTTTGGGGGGAGTTCATTAATTTGGGTTCAAGATTTAATGATCGTTCCACAGGACTCTTCACAGGATTTTTGGATTGATATCACAGTTTTCTTTTACGCAATTTTAATTTTTTCCCCCCACTTAAACATTAGAATAGTATCAGAGTGTAAGCGTCGGCTGTTTCTTCCATTATTCGCCTTATTAATTAACACGAACATTGGCGCCACCCGCCCGTTGGCACGCAGAAATAATTTCAGTTAGTTGTAAATCGACGTATTTTCAAGACATAATTGCAAGTGGCTCCCAGGAACGATTCAAGGATAAATAACATTCTTGAAGAAGAATATTTTCTGCCTGAAAGGTCGGTCACCAGCCTGAAATTATGTCTGGGGTTTTAGAGGATAATGGGACGACAGGCTAGCACCCTTCAGGAGTTTAGTTTGGTGATCCAAGTGATGTCCTTTACACGAAGCATCCCTTTCCAGTATAATATTAACTCAAAATTATAGCAAGTCAGAAGGGGGTGTTTAGATTTGGGGGTCACTGTTTTCTTAACGCGCTAAATTACTAGTACAATATAGTCATCTGATATACCTGAAACGGACATTAACATTTCAGTTGAACAATATTATATTTCAGCATCCTGTTACACTCACACAATATATATGGACAAATACCATCTTAAGTGCAACAATTTTATTGTAGCGACACACACAGAGAGCGCCTACACTGAACAACACATGAACAGCGATAAAAACAAGAAGTGGCCGCTGCAGCACCGTAGATATAGGGCATGTACCCTGAAAAATTTTAATTTGAAAAAGAAAGAGAACAAAGATCTTATAGACATTTTAACTTGAATTAAGGTTTAAAAAGTGCTAATTTAAAAATCAAATCGACGCGTGTAGATTAACAAAGATTTTATACAATTAGAAAGACTGGGATTTTTACATTTTTAACAAGCAGTGTAACAGTTACGTGAGTGATACACACCTGATGATGGCCATTTAGGGCCGAAACATGTAGTGTGGAGGAGGAAAAAGAAGTAAAAACTACAATAAAATTGTTGCACTTAAGACGGTATTTGTCCATATATATTTCAGTTGAATTTCAACAGCCATACCTGAAAGACCTGAAATATTGTTGTCCTGCATCTGACCAATATATTTATTTAATTTCCGTGTCTGTATTAAGCTTTTCGTCTTCCCGCCTTATCAACCGAGTGAAGTGACACATTTTAATTATAATTATTTAATTATAAATAGTTCACACAGAAGCTACAGACAGACTTACTATTGTGCCTGTCATGATGGATGTAGCTGGTCTCTTCTCATGCGACGATTCTGAGGAGACTTGCTAACCCACGAGAGTTGGTCTGATCGGAAGGTACATCTACACCATTCAATGATTCACACTTCAATGAAATGCATCCTAAATAACTCATGTCTCAAGGGGACCTCTGAGCAAAATTCAGGACATTTCCCGTCCAACAGTAGTCTCTAACCCCTCTGGTAGATGGGGGAAGCATCGAGATACCGCTGAGCCAGTAGAAACCGAACTCTCTGGCTGAGTCGGGACTGATGGTACGCACCTGTACCGGTAGGGTATAGAGACTGGTAGAATATCACAGGGGGACGCACAATGGACCAATATCTGGTCTAAGCGCATGGGGAAACCCACCCTCTCCAATAACAACAACAACAACAACAACAACTATTATACTTACGTTACTTACTCATGGAGTTGAACCCTTCTGGAGGAGAAGCCAAATCTGTCGCTACTCGAATTTCCCAGCATTTTATTGAACCAGAAGGTTCATTACCGTATTCACAAGAGCCCTCCACTAGTCCATATCCTGAGCCATATCAATCTAATCCACCCCATCCCTCTAAAGTGACTATCATAGTGCAGTGAAAATATCATTCAACAGTGTCATACATGTTATATTCATACCTGATACAACATTCTTTATTTCCCATTAAATCATTTAATCAATAGAAATGTTATGTTTCTGGGAATTATCCTTCGTCCTGTTTATATTTCAAAGCACAGTGTTCCTGAGACTGCATTCTGCCTCCGTCTTCAGGTAAAACTTATTCAGTTGGGCCCAGTCGATAGAACTACGCCGTGTCTCGAGACCAGAAACATAACATTTATACTAACATACCAACGATACAAAATTTTTATATCTTGTTTAATCAATAGTGAATAGCCTTAGGAACTGCCACGCCTGTGGTTTGCATTTCTCGTCCGCCGTTTCCACAGCGGTTAATTGTCCAACGTAGCCTCTGGGATTTCCAAAATGCGTTTCAAAAATAATTAATGCGTCACGGATATTGTGCTGTACGTATGAACTGTCATATTCAAGTCAATTATAGCAGTGTACACGATTTCCAATCATCTTCATGCAAACAGCTTTAGCCAGAGACGGGAAAGCCGATGTCACAGAACCCATGCAAGAAACCCTATAGAGACAACCACAAAGCGTACATTTAATAAAGATTAAATGACGTAAATTAGAAGGACCCTATTTCCTTCTTCCTTAGCCTTCTTGTTTCATCTTTTGGGTCATCCATTTTATTTAATTCCATGCTATTCAGGAAACTGTTATCACGTCGTGACGTAATTAACTGTAAGAACGAACTTTATTCTTCTAAAAGAAGTTTTTTCAATAATTTGTTTTGAAATTTATGTTCCTGTGCCTTCCTGCAGGGCTTATGAGAGCACTGAAGAGTACAGAGAGTGTGGGCTGAGAAGAGGAGGACGAATGAATTGCCTTTACTGAAGATTTGCAGGATTAGCAACTGCGAATGCTCGGCCCAGTTTTTCCTTTCGACTGAACAGATGATCTAAAAGTTAATATCGTGCAGGTGAAAGATGTATTATCTTAAGCTAGCAGAGGACAGTGCGATAATGATATTGGCTGTCTCGGATACAGACTCGAATGCCACCTAACTGATGAATGTATCTGTACTTTCGTGTCATTGCCAATAATTTTATTATTTATATATTTATCACAATTTTCTTGTTGGACAACGAGCTGGGTTAGTTATGCAGATAAAAATACTTCCAGCTAAAGCAACCAAGGAAATGGTTCGTAGCAATGAGAAAATATGTAGAAAAACCAGGATTATTTGTCCCTTTCTTGTATTTAGATTATATTTTAGTAGCACTAAGGAAACCAAAAGCAGGAACTTTGATCCATATAGCTCGTCTATTGATTCGTTTCTATGCTTATGGGCATCGTTTTCTGTACTACTAATTTAGTAAATAAAACATTTTTTAGGCTTAACATTGAAAAAAATATTTTAATTATAATCGATAAATTATTGGTTCAAATTCTGAAAGAAATCAAGGAGATGAAAAACCTATACTTCTTTAATAACCCGACATATGGTGCAGAAAACTTTCCTGTTAACACGATTTGGGGTTACTTATGGCCAGTTTAAACGTTCCCTTTCTTAAACGTGCTGTCAAAATAACCGTTTATATTCTGCTTTGTTACCGAGGATTTACAGGATATCATTTTACAGATTAAAGAAGAAAAAAACATTAATGGGCATGAAACGGTGACGTAAAAACTCTCTTTAATAATTGTGTCGCAGAATTATAAAGACGACTTTTTCTTAACGTGTACTTGAAGCACTATCCTTAATATTACAACTTGTATACTCTTATACGGATAATATGGATCAGGTAATTAAAAATTAATTTTCAAGGACTCTTCCTGTTTTCGTTCCACATGTATCTTAGAAGAGCCAGTTTTTTCATACATTTCTTACCATCTGTGTTTACTATTAGAAATGCAATAATGCGTTTAGATTTATCTAAAATTTTATAGAACAGAACTTTGTTTATTTAGACATTTTATTTCCAATGCATTTTTAAAAAGAGAAACGCAATAAAATCCAGAACTTTGCTCCGGGGATTTACATTCTTGCTATTTTCCTAGAATTTAAGTATTTGGTCTAGACACTTACTAATGATAGTTTATTCTTACATTCTTTTGTTGTTTTAGATTGAAAACTTTTTACAAAGCGTGGCATATAAATAAGTGGACAGACCGATAGACTGTGCCAGTGAATATATGCCTTTGCTTGGTGATGTAAAGCTCTCACACATAAGTGAATTTCAGACTGCATATGAGGTATAAAAACTGACATACTCTTCCTGAAATCAAATAAACAAATTATTTTCGTAGAATAATTGTTCCCTCACCAAAGTATTTTGACCGGTGAACTCTCCCTTCCCAGACAATTTAGAGGATAACTTCCTGCATTCGTCCCATAGAGAAAACTAGTCGTTGTTAATGTAGAATCNAAACTCTTGAAATGTTAAAAGCGGCGTACAAGGACGATGCTATGGGGAAAACTCAAGTGTTTGAGTGGTTTTCCCGTTTCAAAAATGGTGAAATGTCAATTGATGACAAACCTCGTTCTGGTCGTCCTTCCACGGCCCGAACACATGAAAATGTTGACAAAATTCGTGAAATCATCAAGGAAGATCGACGACGGACCATTGAAGAAATTGTGGAGCTGTCGGGAGTGACTTGGAGCTCAGCGGCCAGATTTGTGGCAGTCGGGTGACTGGTTTTTCCATCATGACAATACCCCTGCTCACGCAGACCTGTCTGTACTACAATTCTTGACCAAAAATGGTATGACCCCTGTTCCTCACCCTCTATACTCACCCGACATTGCTCCGTGAGACTTTTTTTTGTTTCCTCGAATGAAAAGAGACATGAAAGGAAAAAAACGACGGAGGCGCTGTCAAGCATCTCAAAAGATGAATTTAGACAATGTTTTGAAAAATGGAAAAAGACTAGACAAGTGTATTAGTGTAAGTGGAGAGTACTTTGAAGGGGATTGAAGGTTTGTGCTTAGAATTTGAATAAATAAGTTTAAAAAATAAGTTCGATTTCTTTTGGGTACCCCCTCGTATGTTGGCAATGAATTATTGAAGCCTAAAGAGTATTGATTTTTCTCGCAAATTTTTTGATATTTAGATATAATTCATAATGAGCTTGATGCAATAACTATGAAAAATGAATTCTATTCTATCTTGTGTGCAATAATTTAAGTCATGGAACCGTAAGATATTTATGACATATAAACATTCGATTTTTTCCTCAAAAGCTAGTGTTAAACGCAACAAAATTAATAATTACCTGTTAAAAAAACTCCGGGGCCTGTAGTCCGCAAGCGAACTATACAGATCGAGCGACCGCCGCTTCTCGGCGAAGTTAGTGCCAACTTTAGCGGATAGAGGGTGTCACATGGTCAGCGAAATTGATCCCCAACGCCGTTAATCACTGTTTTCTATACCGGAGCCGCTATTTCCTTGAAATAGCTCCTCAATTATCCTCACGAGGCTGAGTGGACCCCGTTCCAGACCCAAATACTTCTCAGAAAATCTGGTACCCCGGTAATCGAACCCGGACCTCTGGATCTGTAGCCAGGAACTCCAACCACTAGACCACAGAGGAGGTCAATAATTATCTGCTACCGGTTTCAAACCCTCCTTCATTTTGATTTATGGCACGTCGTGGTGCCATTTCTTCTTGTTTCTCTCCTTTAGTCAAGCGGATAGAAGCTGAAATGTCACTGTGAAGCTTTGGTGTAAATCCCAGAAGACTTCACTGAACACTGGTGCCATCTTTTCTTTCTCGGTGATTCTCCGGTTTTCCTCTACTTATCATCATTGCGCCATTGTTCGTAATCTTCTGTCGTCGTCTCGTGAGGTTTGTGTAGCCCTGACCAGGCAGCGCGTTGAAACATTCTCGGGTTTCCGTTTGGGGCTTTAACTATGATCCGACATTCGGCTGGTTACAGAGTAAGGAAGTTTGTTAAGGAGACATAACTGACAAAATAAGCTGCCCACATGTCTGCGTGTCTGTTATGTGATTAGTCCAGTCTGCATGAATAAGTATGCGAGCTATATAAATCGCCTTGTTTTTAAGACAAAGAAAGACGATTCATTTCAGAACACGCATCACTTTCGTCTCTCAGTCTATGTCACAGACAGGTTAGGCAGAGATGACAGTGAGACGAACTTGCTTATGTTAGCAAACGACGAGACCTCTCGAGACCCACGAGATCCGCGCCAGTGCCGTGTGTGTGAGTGCGAGCAATGATACGTACTTGAATGTTTACGATGTATATAATCTGTTAGAGTTATGTTTCGTGCTTAGGTACTCGGGTTAATTATATGCTGTGCAACAGGATATTCTCTGTGTTCACGCAGAGCAGTAGTGCTGAATAATAGCGACATTATGAGAGTTGAATATTTCATGGCGTCTTTGTTAATGTTATACACCGTGTTAGTTTAATTTTTTAAAAATATAAGTATTATTCCTTGGGACTTACGTGTTATTTATTGTATTCGTGTTACCTTGTGACAATGTGAATATTATATCGAATTTATTGTTTAGGCACAGTGAAATTAGTTACAATTATTTAACGAAGTATAAATTTTTCATAAAATAATTTTTAGAAAAGGCGCGTGAAGAATATCGGCCATTACAGAAGCTGTATTTTAAAACGTAGTGCTGACAGTGATGAACTGAGTGGAAAAAAGTGAGGCTACTGGCAGTATTTTACAAGGTACGTAGCGATTTTTACCTTCCTCAAAGTACTATTAAGATCTTTATATGAAAGAGGTAAAGTTGTCTCATTGTTTAACTAATTAAGCACTACGCCATGAAAACGTATGGAGGAGTGGATGTATAGATCCACGTTTTCTCAGCCCAGGCACTAGTTGGAGGTGAGTAGTCAGCTTCACTCCCCGGCCGCTTTACCCCCGGGAAAGAGCCCCCGGTACTCGTTGTATAGGAGGTTGGGCGAACCCCAGAGGCTGTCTGGACAACATGGGGAAGTAAGAAATTCTTGACCCTACCTGGACTCGAACTCCGACCTCCCAGTCGTCCAGCTAGTAGCCAGTCGCTCTACCGACTCCACTATCCTGAAAGGTTAACAGATTATTGCTATATAAGTATTATGCGGAAGCCAATACATTTATACTGAGTATTGCTGGAAATATATGGTAAGATTACGAAAATGAATGCACAAGAGGAAAATGGAAATGAAAGCTGTATAGTTTAGAAAGTGTTGTAACAAGACTACGGGCACACCACGGGCAATGATTATTTTTCATTTCTCTGCAGCTTTCAGACAGCTTTGTAGCCTAATCAGCATCGTGGTCAGTGGAAGCCAAGGGCCCGTTCCTCTGTGGCTCAGAGGCAAGTACATGAAGGTGGCCGCTCATCTCCATCTTAATGCATGGAGTTACACCTTCGCTCTCCCATACGCCTTGAACGTGTAGTGCTCAATTAATTTTATTTACCTGACATGGATTCTACGTAATTAAGCTAGCCCTTGTGAAACTGGTGATGTGAGGCATTCGGCTCTGTACCTGCTCCATTTAACTTGACTACTGCACTCCTTGTCTCTTCCAACATTGATGTGTCGGATAGGAGCTGGGTATGTTTTACCAAAGTTCCCAGCTAGCTCTGAGCTAGAATCAGTCTTCCTTAATGGGACGATAGGGTTCGTTTCCCGAGTCGGTATTTCAGCAGATTATTATAGCTTGATTACGGAGTCATAACTGCGGATGGTGACAGGAGAGTGTGTTTGTAGGCGGGCATATTTGGGGTTACCAAAGGGAAACTTCGTTCACTTACTTTTGGAGCTGAGCCCTTCTTGAGGGGAAGCCAAATCTGCAGCTACTCAAGAATTTCCCAGAATTTATAGAACTCGAAGGTTCATTACCGTTTTCACAAGAGCCCTCCTTTGGTCCCTATCCTGAGTCAAATCAATCCAAACGATACCATCCCATCCTATTTCTCTAAGATCCATTTCAATTTTTACACTCACTTACGCCTTGGTCTTCCCAGTGGCCTCTTTCCTTCTGGTTTTCCCACCAATATTCTATACGCACTCCTCTTCTCACCCATTCGTACTACATGTCCTGCCTACCTCATCCTCCTTGACTTGATCAGTGTAATTACACTTGGAGAAGAGTACAAGTTATGAGGCTCCTCATTATGCAGTTTTCTCCAAAAATTCGTTCACTAAGATTAATAATGCTGGGAAATTCTTGAGTAGCTGTAGATTTGGCTTTTCCTCAAGAAAACTCCATATCTAAGTGTAAACCTGTACCATCTCTCTTAATCAGAATGAATCTACTGCTGAGGACTCGCTCCATTCTAGTTATCCTGTCTCAAGTCTGTTACAACTTCTGAGACGCACTGCGCTTTCTCACGTGTCCTTCCTTCTGAATATGTCACCGCCTCCAACAGTTCCTCTATTATTGCGTGTTTATTTGTTGCTACGGAAAGTGTCTAGCGCTCCACTGTCCAACGGATATCCTTCCACTATTGAAAGCGTAACCTGGGGAATACGTTCACCGAGCCGTTGCCTAACAGTGGTCATACGCGTTACAATATGAAGAATTGTCTCAACGTCAATTATTAAATACATGCACTATGATAAAATTCATCTTCCCGATCTAATTTATCGTAAACATTTAATTAATTATCTGGATAAATAGCAGTTTGAAAATTCTTGTAGTCTGTAAAGCGCCTGGGTCCCTCTGTATGCATGGGAACTTTATTCAGTTAAGGAAACAGTTCGATCGAGATATTGAATACCGCTGTTAGCCTTGCTGCATGGGTGGGGGGGGGGCTAATGGAACTCATTTTGCTTATTAGACACCCCAATTTCTAAAGTGTCTGAGAACATTCAGAAAGTCGTGTAGCAGCTCAGGCGGAAGAGACAAACGCTCCTCGGTTCGGGTTTGGCAGCTAAGATTCAGTTTGCAAGCGAAATCGACAAACCCAAGGGCTACATACATTACGAATTCTCTTCAGTATCGCCCAATCAATCGTAGACCAACTACCGTGGCAATGAAGCTTATGCACTGTTCGTCGTCCGACAGCAATTCCGGTACTCACTTTGTACTCAGACATTCTGTCAGTTGTGTTACTTTCTGGCATTAATATCACATGTCGGACACACATTTGAGGGACATTTGTTCATGTACGATTCATATGTGGGACAGAGCTATGTAGTAATGTATCAAGGAGATTCATCCACAAATTTCAGTATGTCACAGTTAAAAATATTGTCACGTGTAGGGTCGTACGCGTGACGAAAAATAACGGGTTCTAGCTAGGATGATAGGATTTATTAGCACTTTGGTTACGCTCTCTCTCTTAATTAGGATTAATAGAGCGGTATCGGTGATTTACACAGTTTGCAGTTCACCGTTGCACACGAAATGGGATTCTCAGTTTCCACTAGTCGTCTCCTAGCAACGGATGCCAACACAGAAAATACCATTTCAAATCTCTATGAAATTTTCTTACTATTTCGTCTTCAGTCATTCCGTACTCCATCCTCGTCCTTGTGCTCTCAACTGCTGAAACCTTCTGGCCTATCATTTTCGTGACGGTTTCGTGTCCTTGGCTCACGGCTTCTCAGCTATGACTGACTGCAAACGACCTTCACTGTTCCCTATAAACCTACGGCATGACCCGCCAGAAAGATTCCTGGTACTCATTTTTGTTAGAGGCCGAGTCGACCCCAGGGCTATAGCGCGGCTGGAATGATTAGGTCAGTTGAGAAAATCCACCTCATCGGGACTCGAACCCCCCGCGAACTTCCGGCTTGTAGCACAGTGCCTCAACCAACTACGCTACCGCGTTCCCTAAGAACTGCAGCAATTATATGTAGAAAAGGTATCGTTATTTCTGTTGACAGAGCCATGACTTACGTGAAGTAAGCTTATGCGATCCCTCACTATTAACATTTGAACGCCTGAACAGTATCTGTGAAACTTAGCATGTATATCATGGCAACTGAGCCAATCTCAACGGCCTACTTCATAAATCTCTTCCTTTAGTTTGTGTGTCTGTATGTGTATATTGCTAGGCAACGGCTCAGAAAGGACGTTACCGCTGCAACAAATATACGCGCAAAAATAGAGGAATTGTTGGACGTGTCCTATATATGCTGTCCATGGCGTATCACAGGAAAGTAGGCGATTAGATCTTCTCAGAACTTCTTGTTAATGGAAACTTGACAACTTTCCCGCTAACGATATATGTATTGTCACGTGTAGGGCGGTAAGCGTGAAGAAAATGACGGGTTCTAGTTCGGATGATTGGATTTACTGGCACTTCGGTTACACTCTTTCTCTTAATTACAATCAGTACAGCGCTACCGCTGATTTAAACAATTTACAGTTCATCGTTCCACACGCACTAGGATTCTCAGTTTCCACTAGTCGTATCCTAGCAACGGATCTCAACACAGGAACTTGCACTTCATATCACTTTGAAGTGTTCTTGCTTTTTCTTGTTCAAACACTCTGTACTCCTCTGCCCTAATCCGTACTCGGTTTTCGCAATTCACTAAGGACATGCTCCATTATCGTCCTTGTACTCTCTACAGCTGAACTCTCATGGACTCTCCTTAGCTCAAAGTCAAAGTCACATTGCGACTGACGGTCAGTCAGTTAGTAAGCCTTGGTGTCGAGCCCCATCTGGGGCTCATGACCAGATATTAATTATTACCGTATGACAGTTACGGTCTTGTTTCTGTGGGGCGCCCTCTCTGACGAGAGGACGGGTCTATCTTTTGTATATGCTGCTGGTCCTTGACAGCGCAATCTTTCTTCGGTCCGAGTCCCTTGGGACTCGCGACCATAATTTACTGTCTCAGATTTGATACTTCACTTTTCGTCACCTCCTACGGCTCGCAGGGTCACGGTGGAGGTATTCGACCCCACCTCCACACGGAGTTTCTGCAAGCGGTCTCGTCTTATATAGCCGCGGCACGGACAACGTAGAAAACACAGTTCCAATGTTGCGTAGAGCAGACCACGCAGAAAACATTTCACGTGATAACTATCTCGCCAGTCCATTGGCGTGCTGATTGTTGCCTAGCAACTAGCTATAAACATTTGACCTATTGCGTGCTCGTATCGCGGTGTGTTCTTCGAGCCGTTGTCTGGCAATGCGTTGACGTGTCACAATACAATAAACTGATAATATAGCTGTGGAATTTGGAGAGCTCAGTCGGTATAGCGACCGGCTATGGCCTGGAAGGCTGTGACAAGATTTTTCTCCTCTATGCAGTGCCCAGACTGGCTCTGGGGCCTATCAAGTCTCATTTGCAATGAGTTCCGGTGGCGATTTTCCACTGGTAAAGTTTCAGGGGCGTGAAGCTGGCCACTTACCTCAATATAGTGCCTAGGTCAAGGATGATGAAGCTATACCTCCACTTCCCCATATATCTTCATGGCATAGTACTTAATTAACTAAGCTCAGGCACGACTTAACTTATTAATACAATTGCAAATAAATTGAGATAAATGTTCTTTTAATTGTAATACGGGTAAGTTCTATTTGTAATATGTTTAAGGCCTTTGTTCGTCAATTGCACAAATTTTATGAGTCTCAGCGGACCGAGTAGACCCAAGTACCGTCGGTCTCTTTTCTTCTGAGACGCACAAAATATTTTCGGGAAGTTATCAGACGTTCAACTGTAGCTTACCCCTCCAGTCGTCAATAGACATTCTTTATACAGGCATATTCACGCCC